TTAAGTGAGTTGATGATTTAACATTGACTGAAATGAAACACTTTTCTGAAATAAAGAGTTCACTGAATAAATATAATTCTGGAACGTACTGATCTTCATCTTCTGGCTGACTACGGGTCTTCGATTTGACTGTTGATTGTGGTACTCCCCGTCGTAGGTACTCCTGGAAAATTTCAGAGACGCGCACATGTACAAAGGAGGGTAACTAGCAATCATGGCAACTACCTTTCATAATTGTCTACTCGATACGCGGCACATCATTCGCGGCACATCGTAATGCGGTATACCTGCTCCTCGTCAAGTGAGTGCGGCACACCTACATACAGCACCTGGCGAAAATTGCACCTGCGACGTCGATGTAGTCTGTATGTGTAACGCCCAGACTTTTATTTACTATTTATGGAGCTCGACTATATTTCCATAAATATTAAGTTTCTTAATTCGATGCATTATTTATATTCATTTGCATTAAATTAAATAATTAGAATTAAAGTCTAAGCCATTAATAATTCTTCCGACTTTAATTAATAAAGTTGGAATTTTATTTAAGTGATCCGAAGTCGGATAATTTAATTATTCGAGCCCAATTAATTTTGAACGAATCCAATAATTTTAGTCGGCCATTTTAATTCGAATAGTCGAATTAATTCCCAAGACCAAACGGTATTTTAATATCGAGCCATCGTAGTATTTTAATGCCGGGCCCATTATTAGTAATTATTTCGATCGACTACTTTAATTAGTCCTAATTCAATTAATATTATTTAGCAAGCCCGAGCATTTAATCTCCTAAGTTCATATTCGATTTATACTCTAGCCCGTTAAAAGCCCAACAAGAGGAAACCCTAAGCTCCTCACCTACTATAAATAGATTGTCCCCCTTCTTCCAACATCACACAAACCCTAGCCCCCATTTACTATTCATCATCATCCTCCTCATTTCAAAACATCCTCCATTAAAGCTCAAGCTTCTACTTCAATAAGCTTTCTTCTCCATTACATGGCTTGAAGCTTGAAATCCGACGAGTTCCCGTCCTCCCCGCAGCTCACCCTCCGGCCATCCTCCAGTTTTTTTCCGGCGAGCTTCGAAACTCCGACGAGCGCGCGACTTCCGACCACTGCTCGTCCTCAGCCCGTCATCCTCCGTTTTCCGGCGACTTTTCGCGTGCGCAGCTCCGTCCCAGCTCACTCGCGCCGGAAACCCGCAGTCCCAGTTTTCTGGCGAGCTTCAGCCCGCCTCCGTCCAGCCGAGCTTGCGTGCAGCACCTCAGTCGCAGCTCCTGTCCGGCGACTGTTTCACGTGTCGGGAACTTTCAACTCGCGCGACCTTCCACCGGCGAGCAGATCCGCAGCTCCTCCTCGTGCGTGCCCTGTTTTTCCGGCGAGGTTCTCCCACCCCGCAGTTTCACCTGCACCTGCAACCTGCTAGCCCACAGCTTACCTCCAGCACCTCCGAGCCGGACAGCAGCAAGTTCACGGCCCGTCTCAGCTCCAACCCGCGTCCAGCTCGTTTTTCCGGCGATTTCGCACCTCCAAGCCCGAGCTTGTACCAGTTTTCGACGACCAGCTCTATCGGGACGCGACCAACAGCTCCTTAATTCCAGTTTCAGCATCTTCAGCGACCCTAGCAGCTCCAGATCTGACCTCGGCCCTAAGATCCGACCCATCTTGCTCATCTTCCCATTTTCTAGTCCGATCTATTTTTTCGGTCCTCCCGATCCGAGTCGTTTGGAGGTATAATTACTAAATCTCGGTTTTGATGGCTTAGACATAATATTTGAATTGATATAAAAGAATAAATTGAGAGATTGGAGCGATTTTGAATAAATCGGGATTTTCGGGCTTAAAGCTAAAATGTTCGACTTTTTGAATAAATGCGATAAAATATTGAAATAAATACTATAAAATTCGTTACGTCATTTTGAGGCGTAGGATTAAATTTCGTAATTTTCGGACTTGGTTTGGTAGGTAAACGAGTCGGTCAAAGTTGTTGACCGGTCGTAGTAAATTGGAGTTGACTAAGTTAGGAGATGACTTTTGACTTGAGATTTTGATCATGGACTATATATATATTTAGGATGTTATGTTTCGATTTTCG